AAATTGAATTTTGGGAAACTTTAACAGTGCTGCCAACTTTGGAAAAAGTCATCCCAATTTACTGTGTTGAGTTGGCATTGTACAGAAATGGACAGCCATATTGGTCTAGAAATGTTAATTTATTTTTATTTATTTTTTTTCCATGTGTACAGGGGTAACACATCATACTAAATATGTAAGGTCATATCTACATGGGTTTGATTACAGAAACTAATAAAGCATTCTCTAAATAATGAAAAAAAGAATAAGATAAGACTATAAGAGCAAGAAGCAATTTAAATATGTTCAGGGACCATTTTCATCTTCAGAAATAAGGATTATTTTAATGTTACATCATTGCCTTTTCTCTTTTACTTTCCTTTTTAGTTTTATTTTAAGGTTCTCTATTTTTAATGTTCATACAGAGATTTCTTTAACTGAAATACCAAATAGTTTCTTTGGTGTGAAAAACTATAATAGTACACAGGATCCTAATGAGATAATTAATAATGTGAAATAGGAAGTAAAGGGCTAAAGGTGTAGAGAAAGTGGGAAGGGTGGGGGAAAGGTAATAAGGGAGAGGAAAAAAATATGAGAAACTGAAAAAATGGAAATAAAGTGTTTGTAAGTGGGGAGGGGAGGAGGGGTGAAGGGAGGGCAGGGACAAGGGGAAAAAATGAGAATCAAGACCTATTATGTAAAGGTACAGGATCCCAATGATGAATGTAACTATATTGTATACTTAGATTGTACCAATAAACTCAATTAAAAAACTTTTTTAAAAGACTTGATGTAGCTCACTTACAAGGGCCTAGGTTCAATCCCTGGTACCTCAAGAAAGGAAACAAGCCAGGTGTGGTGGCAAACGCCTGTAATCCCAGCACTCGGGAGGCTGAGGCAGGAGCTGGCTGGGAGTTCGAGATGAGTTCCAGGTCAGTTTCAACTACATAGTGAGACCCTGTCTCAAAAAACAAAAGAAAGAAAGAAAGAAAACAAAGCCAAAACCTTATGAATTCAGCTTGGGGTGTTGCCCTGTGCTGCAGTACTCACATAACATACACCAGACCCTATGTTTAACTTGAAAAACAAGTTCTTTCCAGGCTCATCACCCCCTCCTCTCACCTGTAGCTATTAACTCCTTGTTCCCGTAGGATAAAATTGACACCTATATCCTATAAAACAGCCACCACTTATGAATTGTTTCTGGAATTTTCCATTTCATATTACAGACTTCAGTGGACCATGGGTAATTGAAACTATGGGAAATGAAAGCACCAGTGGGGCAGCGGGTGGCTGTATGTAGAACCAAGCCCCGTCCTACATAGAATGCCTCCCTGTTGTCACAGCTGCGTTTACTTGTTTTAACAGCAGCCCTGAGTCACCAAGACTTGAAATGCACTAGTAGTTGGATCCCTTCACGAATCAGGAGTGTGTTTAGGGACTGAGGATGTCACTCGGTGGTGAGCAAGCTGTGTACAGACAAGGCCCTGGGTGCACAGTACTGACAAGGATCTGCTTCATAACTCTTGTGTGCCAGATTTTGTCTGCGGCATCAAGATCACAGCAGTGAGTGCACTGGGAACTGCTCCTGCCCTGGCAGAGCTGACATCCGGATGAACCCAATGTGCCAGTCAGAGAAGACGCAGGAGCCACGGCGCCAGGTGACTGCTGGTGAGGGAGAGAGACGTCCAGGAGCCAGGCTGAGGGACACTCAGTCTCTGCCTGGGGAAGCTGTGGAGAGGCCAGGGTCAGATTGAGCGACTGGGTAAGATAAAGCGAAGTCAACCTTGGGCACGGTCAAGGGCAGAGCTTCTGGGATGTTCACTGGGGTCTGGAGTTACCCCTGGGGGTCACACAGTAGCAATCCAGTCCTCAAAGCCGCGCGAATAGGGTTGGGAGGTAGGATCTTCTGAAGTTACTGAGGCGTGAGAGCCCTCCCTCGGGAATGGGTGAATCTATTTCATTCACAGATTCACTGGCTCCAGCTGTTGACAGCTGCCCTCGGCTGGATTTGACGGCGCACGCCTGTCATCCCAGTGCTCTCCTCTCGGAGGCTGAAGCAGAAAGATCAAAAGTGCAAGCCCAAGTGATTTAGCAAGAGTGCCTCAAATGCAGCTCAGTGTGAAGTCCCTGAGTTCAATCCCTAGTATGGAAAACAAAACAAAAAGGCAGCTTGCTATCTGCTGAGCCATGACCCGGCTAGAAGTCCCTGGTTCAGTCCCTGCAGAGGCTGCCCTGGGCTTCAGCCCCACGCTTAACTGAAGCTCCCTTCTTTAGAAATCACCCAGCAGAGGGGTCTCTGCAACAGCAGGGTGAGGGAACTTGGAAGCGGTTCCTGCAGCAGAGGAGGAAGCATCCTATTTTTAGCCAAAACATTGTGTGGGTGAGAAGACTCAGAGCAGAGAGAGGAAAACGGAACAGGGACAGAGACCCAGGGGACCAGAGAATCCAATGACTGTGAAGGGGACTGAAAAGGACCAGCTGGAGAGGAAAGAAGTGAGGAAGGGAGAGGGAGGGAGGGGAGGGCGGGATATCAGTGTCCCCAGCATCCAGACACAAAGGGACAAATGTGGTGAGTCCCTAGAGCAGTCCACTTCATGGAGACAGAAAGGACAGTGGCAGCCATCAGAGCCTAGAAGGAGAGGGAATGAGAAGTTTTGTGGGTGTTTAGTGGCTACAGAGTTTCCATTTGGGGCATGAAAACATTCTGGAGATGGAGGGTGGTGACAGTTGTGCGACTGCAAGAACACTTCTAATGCCACCAAACTGTACTCATAAAAATGGTTAAAGGGGAATGTTCTACGTTCATATAGTTTGTCACGATAAAAATTCCAGGTAGCCAGGTGTGGTGGCGCATGCCTGTAATCCCAGCACTCAGGAGGCTGAGGCAGGAGGATCACTGTGAGTTCGAGGCCAGCATGGGCTACATAATGAGTTCCAGGTCAGTCTCAACTACACTGTGAGACCCTGTCTCAAAAAACCAAGAAAAAAAAACACAAAACAAAAATCCAGGTAGACATTAATAATTTTTTTTCAAGGAAGAACATCAGTAGATGCTAAAATGAATGGTCAAGATAATCCCAACTACTCAGGAGGCTGAGGCAGGAGGATTGCAAGGTGGAGACCAGCCTGGACAACCCCACTAGAGGCGGTCTCAAAGTAAAATAAAAAGTAGCTCGGGGCCAGGGATTTAGCTCAGCACAAGGACCCGAGTTCAATCCCCGGTACTAAAAAAAAAAAAAAAAAAAAAAAAAAAAAAGTAGCTCAGTGGCAGAGCCCCAGGTTCCATCCCCAGAACTTCCATAAATAAATAAATCATCCAAGGTCTGATGAAAAGTGAGGTGTCACCCCTGCCCAGGATACTTAGTGTGCTACAAACTGTACCCTGGGGAAACGGCAGGGCACTTTCACCAAGATGCTTTAGCCATACTGGGTGTCTTCCTGCATCTCCTGCGGCCATCTCTGAGTGCCACGGACTGGGTCATTCATGAAGAACAGAAGTCTGTGTCTCTGAGGCTTCCAAGAGCTGGAAATCCAGAACACCTGCGAGGGCACCCCGCTGCCTGGTAGCAGGGTGGGGGTGCCCCAAGTGTGGCTAAAGCAATGCCCACTTTCTTTTCTTTCATTCGTGTGTGTGTGTGTGTGTGTGTGTGTGTGACTGGAGATTGAACCCAGGGTCTTCCAACTGAGCTGCATTCCCAGCCCTTTTTGTTATTATTTTTTTTTTATTTTAAAACAGGGCACTAAGTTGTCCAGGCTGGGCTCGAACTTCAGATCCTCCCACCTCATTCTTATAGCAGAGCCACTCTGTAGACAACCTGTGGGTGGATAAAAGTGGGCTGACCACTGGGGAGGAAAGAGCTCTTGTGACTAATTTCAGTTCAAAGACCCCGCCTGCCGTTATACGCAGCTGTGTGGGAACCATTTCCAATACATGTTCAAAGCATAGTGTAGGTAAATAGGCACACTGCACCCCTGGCACTGCACCTCAAAGGGCATTGCATCATGAAAGGTTCTTCCAGAAAACACATAACAGCTGGGCACAGTGCACACCCCTGTCATCCCAGCCCCTGGGAGGCTGAGGCAGGAGAATTGTTATGAGTTGGAGGCCAGCCTGGACTGCATAGCAACACCCAGTCTCAAAAAAACAAAAACAAAACAAAAAAGTGCTTAACGTTAATTAAGTTAATTAAATCCTCAGAATACACTAGGCAACCCCAAACTGAAGCACATGCTACAAAAAGCTGTCTGGGCTGGTTCAGCTGAGTGGTGGGCGGCTGCCCAGGGAGCAAATCCCAGGCTCTACCCCCAGCTCTGGGGAGGCAGAGGCTCCCCCTGGGGCAGCTGCCCAGATCCACACAGTGGCAGAACTCTTGTGCCCTCCGGTGGGCACTGAATCAGTTCCAAGCCCAACTGATAAGAACCAGACATAGGGGTACACATCTGCCCACACAGCCCCAGGCAGCTGCGAGGCCAGAGAGTGAAAGAAATCAGCAGCACCTGTCATCCCAGGACTCAGGGAGGCTGAGGCAGGAGCATCACAAGATCAGCCCAGCCTGGGCAAGTTTTCAACTTAGTGAGATCCTGACTGAAAATTTTAAAAATTAAAAAAAAAATGCTGAGGATGTAGCTCAGTAGGAAAACCCTGGGTTCAATCCCCAGCGCAACAAAAAGACAAAAAGGAAGGGGAGGGAAAAGAAGGGAAATAAAAAGAAACAAGGAGCAGCCACTGAGGTGCTGGATGACATCATGGCAAGTGACACGAGCCAGGTACCGAAAGACAAACACTATGTGGCCTCACACATGCCTGTGTGGAATCTAAAATTGCAAGCTCAGAGAAGCAGAGAGTAGGGAAGGTAATCAAAGGGCTGGAGGCGGGAGTCGAGAGTGGTGTTTGTGAAAGGGTCCACGCCTTGATCAGACAGGAGGAGTTCATTTCTGGGACCCAGCACGATGACTGCAGTTAATGATCATGTATTATGTCAGGTGTGGTGGTGCACACCTGTATTCCCAGCATTTGCGAGGCTGAGACAGGAGGATTGCCATGAGTTCAAGGTCAGCCTGGACTGCATAGTGAGGCCCTGTTTCAAAAAACAGAAAGACAAAGAAAACACATGAGGGCTCCGTTTGGGGGCCCTCTGATGATAGTTTATGGACCTCTGACATGTACAGGCTGTACATCTGGAATCCAAAATGCTGCAAAATCTAAAACTTTTTGAGCACTGTTGTGATACCAGCATGGGAAACACCACAGCTTACATCTTGTGTCAAGAGAACTTCTCAGGAGAACTCAAGCAAGTTTTCCACAGAGGGCCCAAGCACCACCTCTCAGAATTCATGTGTAGGCAGTACGAAAAGACACAGATGCCAGGAGGAGCTTACTGTCCTGGTTTTCCTCAGGACAGCCCATCTTGTGACCCCTAGCGTGTACTGTTGTGTTTTCTTTTGCTCGGCCCAAGCTCACTCTGCAGAGCCCGTTTCTTCGTTTCTTTTTCTTTCTTTTTTTTTTTTGGTTTTTTGAGACAGGGTCTCACTATGTAGTTGAGACTGATCCGGAACTCACTATGTAGCCCAGGCTGATCTCAAACTCACAGTGATCCTCCTGCCTCAGCCTCCCGAGTGCTGGGATTACAGGCGTGCGCCATCACACCCAGCTGCAGAGCCTGTTTCTTCTTCATCCTGTTATTATGTGCCTTCCTTACCTGCCCCATCCTGGACTTAAACCTTTAGAGCTATGAGCCAAGAATAAATCACTCCTTCAGAAGTACCCTGAGACAGGGAAAGTGTAAAAGTGATGGAAAACTAACTGATATCAGGCTATGCATATAAGGTACGCAGGAAGGAAACCTGTTTGGTTTTTTGTTTGTTTCGTTGGTTTTTTGAGGCAGGGTCTCACTGTGTAGTTCAGGCTGGCCTTGAACTCACTATGTAGCCCAGGCTGGCCCCCAAACTCTGTGATCCTCCTGCCTCAGCCTCCCCAGTGCTGGGAATACAGGTGTGCGCCACCACACCTGGCTGCAATTTTGTGCTTAAGACTTGAACAGCATCCCCAACATATTATACACAGAATGTGCAAATATCCCAGAATCAGAAGCCCCAAGCACTTCTGGTCCCGAATTGTACAGTGCCGTCAGTCAGAGCTGAGGATGCGTGCTGCATGGGGGAACCTCACCATCTGGACCAGTGATCCACACAATTAATGATTGTCCGTAAACGAATCGATGGGTACATTCATTAGCTGTTTACACAGCTCATGTGGAGACAAGAAGGCAGGGAGAGCAGGCTGGGTGCTGTGAGGACACGGTGAGGACCATGGCTGACCGCTTGCCAAGTAGCCCATGGGTTCCCTGAGGGTGGCATTTCCTGCTGAGGGATGAAAATATTCTGGAACAGGGTAGAGATGGTGGTTCTATATTATTAAGAATGTACTTAATTTCACTCAGTTTTATCTTTTTGTTTCTTTGATTTTTCAGCTTTGGCTTTAAGTGAGTTGATTTGCTAGAGGACCACACACCTGTAACCCCAGCACTCTGGGAGGCAGAGGCAGGAGGATCACATGTTCAAACTCAGCCTAGGTAATTTAGCAGTTTAGAGCCTGTCTCAAAAATAAAAACAAAAGGGCTGTGGATGGAGTTCAGTGGGAAGGCCCTGGGTTCAATCTCCACTACTGCAGAGGGAAGAAAAAAAAACTTCAATGGGTTGATTTGTGTGATTTTGTTTAGACTCAAATAAAAAAGAAAGTGATAACACTAATTTCAAAACTTTTGCTAAAACATAAGAGCAAAGGCTCCCTCTGGCTGCAGTGTGGAGAATAGACAACATTGTGGACAGAATCTGGGATTAGAGTTCTAGAAAAGGTTGGCAAGAGTTAGGGAAAACCAGCAAATCCAGATTTGGGAATTGGGGTGTTGAAGCATGGTCTCCCTGGGTAGTCCAGGCTGGCCTTGAACTCATGGTGACCCTCCTGCCTCAGCCTCCTGAGGCTAGTGCCTGCTATTACATGAGGGTACAGTGAGGAGGTACAAAGTTGGCCCTTGCCAGCCACTGAACCTGTCCCACCTTAAACTTGAACAGTGAGAAATGAATGCCCGTGGTATATACCACCTGGTTTGCATTGTTGTTTCATAACAATCTGAGCTCACTAAATCATGCCAGTTTCCCATCCTGAAGGAATTTTTACTTCTGAAGCCTGAGCAATATTCCACTTTGGGGGAGAGGGTGCTGGGGTGAACCCAGGGCCTTGCTTGCACATGCTGGGCAAGGGCTGTACTGCTGAGCTGCACCTCTGCCCCAAATCAGATTGAAGTCTTTCTTGCCTGTTTAACTGCATCCAGGGCACTTTTTCTTGGCTGTTTCCCAGATAGATAACCTAAATCCAAGTTCTGTTCCTGGAGGACTACAAATCAAGACAATCCCCGCTTAATCTGCCTTACAGAGTAGTTGCCAAGCAAGAGAAAAATGATGGCAGGTAAGACACAGACAGGCTGGCGAATTGGAGCTGGTGTTTTTGATCTCTAGTTTTCAAGGCTGATTATCTTCCAGGTAGGTCTTATTTTCAGAAAAACACGTAGCAGAGAAAAAGCTCCAACCAGACATCCTAGCACCAGAATCTACCTTCTCCATAACTACACTGTGCCACACCTTAGAGTTAAAGGATATTCCATGTTAAATTTCACTAATTTAACTGGGCATGTTGGCACTTGCTTTTCATCCCAACACTTGGGAGGCTGAGACAGGAAGATCATCCCAAATTCAAGGCCATCCTGGGCTACATAGTGAGTTCAAGGCCAGCCTGAACTACAAAGTGAGACCCTGTATTTTTTTTAAAAAATCACTAGTATAGGCCCAGACTGTGCTCCCATGGTTCCCTAATGCAGGGCTGGGGATTTAGCTCAGTGGCACCACGCCTGCCTTACAAATGCAAGGTTCTGAGTTTGATCCCTAGCACCAGAAAAAAAAAAAAAAAAAAAAGAATCTTGCATTCCCTAATGCAAATCTGAACACCATTCTCCCAATTTATTTGAATAACAGTGCAGAGGAAGGTGACAGCTTGAAGCTAATTTTACTTACAAATAATTGAGGTTGATTCATGCTGCTTTCTCTTAAATTGTCTCACACACAAAAATAAAGAAACTGATAGTTTTATTGGTGTTAGGAATGCCAAGTTTGTCACATTATCTCTTAGAGTTCCTCCAATGCTCCTTAGAAAGCTACACTCAAAAGCAGTCAAACTCAAAGCCAGTCAGGGGTTTTCTAAGGCAAGAGAAAGGTAGTTTTTCCAAGACAGACAAGTAGAACAACGTATCGAGAGAAGGGAGCCTCTGGAAGAAAGAAATGTCAATGTTTAATGTCATAAGTTCCAATCATAATGTTAAAGAAAAAAGCTGGGTGTGGTGGCACATACCTGTGATCACAGCACTTGGGAGGCAGAGGCAAGAGGGTCCCCACAAGTTCAAAGCTACCCTGTGCTACATAGTGAGTTCAAGGCCAGCCTAGACTACACAGCTAGACTGTTTCAAAAAACCAAAATAATTGGTCTAGGGATTTAGCCCAGTGGTTCCGCTGTCTGCCTTGCAAGCACAAGGACCTGAGTTCAATTCCTGGTACTATTATTACTACTACTACTAATAGTAATAATAATAAATAAAATTCATAATCTCTTGCTCACAAGAAGTTAAATAACAGACATAGTTTTCTTTGTTTCTCAAGGCTAAGTTTCCTCCACCTGAATTGGCCATTCCCACTGGGATAGGGTTTTAAATAGCCACGGATCACAGGAGGTCATCCCTCCTGGCTCCCATTTGAAAGCAATAGCTACAACATTAACATGTGCTTAAGATAGCAATGAAAGGTGGCATTTCAACACTTCTGCCTCTTTTCCTTTTGGCAATATATTTTTGCGCAGCTTCCTAGAATTAACATATTGCTTGCACACTTGTAATCACAGCTACTTGGAAGGCTGAGGCAGGAAGACCACAAATGCAAAGCCAGTCTGGGAAATTTAGCAAGAACCCATCTCAAAGTAAAATAGACCCTGCCAGCGATTTAGCTCAGTGGCACAGCATCTGCCTGAGAGTGCAAGGTCCTGAGTTTGATTCCTAGTACCAAGAAAAAAAATATAGACCCCTCAGGATATGGTGGTAAATACCTGTGATCCCAGTACTTGGGAGGCTGAGGCAGGAGAACTGCTGTGAGTTCGAGGCCAGCCTGGGCTACATAGTGAGATCATGTCTCAAAAAACCAAAAATAAATAAATAAAAATAAAATATTAAAAAGAACTGGAAAGAGTGATGTGATAAGTGAAGCAAAGAGAAGTATTCTGAGAGGAATTAATGACAATGTATATTTTACTATGATAACATTTTTACTTAAATATATTCTGTGATCATGCCCCACTGGTCGGTCATTTGTGGCACTTTCTGTCAAATAAAAACATCATGGTGTGTTCTGACCCACCTCATTCACCAGCTCTGACACTGTGTGACTTCCGGCTCTTCCCAGAGTCAAAATGAGCATGAAAGACAAAGCTTTGAATTGATTCAGGACATCAAGGCAGCCACAACAGCACAACTAACATTCACAAAAGAGGACTCCCAAAGCTGCTTCAGAAAGTGTCAAGAATGAGGGATGAACGCATGTGAGTGAGGGGGAGTAATGCCGATGTGTCTTGTTATAAAGAGATATTAAAATAAAAGGCATTAGAGGCGGAGCTCAGTAGTAGAGTGCTTGCCTGGCATGCATGAGGCCCTAAGTTTGATCCTCTACATCCCCCTAAAAAAATGTTTAAGTCATTCTGACATCCCATAAATGCTAGTTCTAATCATAAACAAAACACACACAAAAACCATAAGCCATGTCCACCTCAGCATGACTCAGTGCAATTAAGCCAACTGGATCTAGGACAGTCAGTTGAAACAGCTGTGTGCCTTTGCATGAACGTTCATACAGAAGAGCTGACCACTAAACGGCAAAATGTGTTCTCCCTAGCTCTTTCTAAACTGTTCTAATTGACCAAAGGGAACTTCTTACCACATGGGTGGAGCAGTCTCCCCAATTCCAACCTATACTTTTTGTAGTTTTCCTAAATTGATTTGACAGGGTCTCACTATGCAGTTCAGGCTGACCTTTGACTCTCTATGTAATGCAGCCCAGGCTAGCCCCAAACTTAGGGCAGTCCTCCTCCCTCAGCCTCCAGAGTGCTGGTAATACACTACACCCAGCTCCTTGATGCGACCCCCCCATCAGGATTTTTTTTTTCTTTTTTTGATACCGGGGATTGAACTCAGGTCTTTCCAACCTGGTTTACATAGTGAGTTCCAGGACAAGCTCAACTACATAATGAGACCCTGTCTCAAACAACAAAAGCAAACAAACAAACAAAAACAGCCAGGGCGCGGTGGTACCCGCCTTCAGTCCCAACACTTGGGAGGCTGAGACAGGAGGATTGCTGTTAGTTCAAGACCACCCTGGGCTATATAGTGAGTTCCAGGACAAGGTCAACTACATAGTGAGACCCTGTCTCAAAATCGAACAAACAAACGAACTGGGGTCCTTGAGCTTGCAAGGCAGGCAGCAGAACCACTGAGCTAAATCCCCCGCCCCGGATTTTTTTATTTTTTTAATGGCACGCTTCACAAATTTGCTTGCCATCCTTGCACAGGGGCCATGCTAATCTCTGTATCGTTCCAATTTCAGTGTATGTGCTGCAGCAGCGAGCACCCCTGTATCGGGAATTGAACTCAGGACCTTAAGCTTGCCAGGAAGGTACGGTGCCCCTGAGGGACATCCCCCGCCCTCCTTGCTGTGATTTTTGACTCTGTACAAATACCGTATAGGAAAGCAGCTGGCACATACGGAAATCTCATGCCTACCGAGTAAGTCTCCCCCTTTAACATAAAGGAAAAAGGAAGAGCCCTTCGCTCCTCCAGCTTGGAAAACACAGCCTGTGGGTTTCAGCCCTGCTCCCTAACTTTCAGTCGCCACTCGTGTTCAGGACACGTGATTCTTCAATCAAATACCGAGAAAAAATCCAAATGGACCATTCTCAACTTTCAGGGGAAATTTTCTATTTAAAGACATCCTGTTGTGACCCCGGTGGTAAAGAATGCTTTCCTAATGGAATTAGTCACCACTGACTCATTTCTGCAACCTTCCTAGTAGCGATTTTGCCTAAACAAAGATCCGGTTTAGAGAAGTCAGATAAATTACAGATGACCTTAATAAAGTATACAGTACCCAAAGGCAAAAGAGTTTTATTTTTTTGCTGTTTTTTTAATGATGTGTACCTAAACGAACAGGAACGACACTGGGTCTTCTTTAAATGTGGAGGCTCCACCAGCATCTAATCATAGCCGCCAGATCTTCCACTTGTGGGTGTAAAAAAATGCTCCCAAGGATAAAAAGTCAGTTTCTGCCCAACTTGGGTGCGACCGGACGAACAACAAAGAACAACTCAAACCAGCCCGGAAAGCAAAGGGATTGTCGCCAATGAACACAGATGACTCAGCCACATGCTTTGCCACGCCCCCGTTGCTGTGACAACCGGAGTCTGGGCAGGACCTTGGGCGCAGAACCAGCCTCCCAAGGATCCCGGGCCGCGCCTGCGCAGGTGCATGCGGGTTGTCCTTACGCGGGCGGAAGCGGAACTCTCCCTGGGCGCTGAATCTGGCGTCCAGCTCTGTTGGAACTTTAGGGTCCGAGGGCCTCAGGAGGCCTAAGCAGCTCCTCTGGGTGCCTGCTTGAAACTGAGAGCCTTCGAGGAGACCCTGGAGAAGACCTCCGCCTTCTAAGCCAGCCTCTTCCTCAAAACTGAGATCGTGAGCCTGGGATTTAGCTCAGTGGTTCCACTGCCTGCCTGGCAAGCGCAAGGACCCGAGTTCAATCCCCGGTACCAAAAAAAAAAAAAAAAAAAAAAAAACTGAGATCGTGGCCTCCCAACCTCGGTTTCCCCGTTGGTAGTTCCCAGCCCGTATTAAGAGGAGGAGGCTTTGAGGATTTAAAGAACCCGGAGCACGTCAGGCCCGGGGGTGAGATGGGTTGACGGGACCCCACGAGAGCTGAAGGAGGTAGGTATTGCTGTCATTTTATAGGAAAGAAAACTGAGATCCAGAAAGGCAAGCGACTCACCCCAGCTCACTCTGAGCTGGAGCTTGGCAGAACATGGAGGGAAAGGGGTCCTCTCTGGGCGACCGCACGGGAAAGCCCTGGCTGGGTAAGGGCTGTGCCCGGTCTGTTGTATCTACCAGGCCTCGAACACCGTAAGACAGTGTTGGGATGACACCGTGCTCTGCGGGCAAGTTCCTCAGCCCACACGGCATTCCCTCTGTGTTCAAGTCGGCTCCAACTTCCTGCCCACCTGAGCTGCTATTCTCTCCACCTCCCTCTCCTTGGTTTCACATTCTTTAATTGTCGTCATCTGCCAAAAATATGTGCATATCAGTCCCTCATATATCCAATTTATCTGAAAATATTAAATGGAAAGTGCCAGGAGTAATTCATAAGTTTCAACTTTTATCTGGTACATTATCATAACTGTTCTATTTTATGAGATGTTGTTTGTGAATCTTATTGTGTCTAATTCATCAGTTAAATGTTGTGTATGTGTGGAACCCATGTATATATTAACTCCTTTTACTGAGGTTTTAAATGGCCCACCAAGTGTGGTAGTACATACCCATAACCCCAGCACTTGGGAGGCTGAGGCAAAAGGATTACTATATATTGAGGCCATCCTGGGCTACATAGTTCAAGGCCAGCAGGAATTATGTAGTTTGACCCTGTCTCAAAAAACCAAAATATGAAGTAAATAAAAATTAGACGGCCAGATGTTCCAGAAACAGGTTGATCATGTCGAAGTGTATGAAACGGTGGATAATTGTAGTGTACATTTCAACTGAGTAGAACAAGTGCCAGCTGAGAATCAGGAGCCGAGTTTGGTCCCCGTTTCTGCTACTACAAGCTCTATGACCTTGTCATTTATCTTCCCAGGACTTGTTTTCCCCTCTGTCAAATGAGGTTGTTAAGGGGATCTTACAGTTCTAGAGCTGGAACCAGGGCCTCCTGCATGGTAGGCAAGCCCTGAACCACTGAGCTACACGCCTAGCCCTGTTCTGAAGCAGGCTGGCCTCAGACTCCCGAGTAGCCGGGACTACAGGCTTGCATCATCACACCAGCCTGTGATTTCTCAGGACCTGGAAACGCTCGGGATCTGACTGATTGCCCCCTCCCCCAGGTACAGAAGCCACCGAGCCTCTCTGCCTTTGACCTATTCTCTAAATGTCTTCTGTTCCTTCAGCCTCCCAACTTGGGCTCCTACACACATCTTCCCAAGTCAGTTCTTCGAGGTATTGTTAACACTCAGACAAACTCAGTATTCGAGATCTAACAAGTGAATTATGGTGGTTAGCACAGCAGAGGCAGCAGCTTGTTTGTGGGAAATGACTGAGTTTAAGCAGAAGACACCCTTATGTTTACACAAGGGTTTTGTTGTTGTTGTTGTTGTTGTTGTTGGTAACAGGGATCGAACTTGCAAGGCAGGCGGTGGAACCACTGTGCTAAATCCCTGGCCCTACAATGAGGAAATATTTAAAACTTCCCTTTCAAATGCTCTGTGATAGATTGCATAAAGTAATGGATGAGCCCCAGGGTTTGCATCAGTTATCCCGACCCACCTAATATTCAAGCAAAAAACTAAGTTACCCCTTTGATTCTCCCCATGCACTTGCCTCTCTGTGTGTACCGCAGTTGCCAAGTCAGGGTAACAGGTCAGGAGATTCACTATGTGTGACAGCAAGGAGTCATACATATGTGGCCATAGGAATTTGAGGTTCAGATCTGCACAAACAGAGAAGAGCCACACAATGATTTTAAAAAGATGAAAGTTTATTTTAAAAGTACAGTAGATGTGAGCATAGTCAAATAATATATTATCACACGAGGTAAGGGACAGCACCAAAGATGAAGGGGAATTCTCCAGGGGAAGGATCTTACATGAGATAGAGCCTTTGGCAGGGAAGAGAGGAAACACTGCACCGTACCCACGCTCTCAGTTCCTGCATTTAGACAAAAGTGACTTGGTGCCAACAGGCCTGCATGTCTAGAGGGACTGTTCCCAGGCTTGGCCAGGTTCTGGGAGCAAGCAGTCCTTCATGTGTTAAGTTTTCTCTGTTACACTCCTTTCCCAGGAGGTGGCCAGCCTCCTGCAGAAAGGCACCCAGCCAAGGTCACCTCAGTGAACACACACATTCCAGATGATCTCTCATTTTAATCTTTCCCTGACAGTGTGCTACCCAGAGTGGGAACTTGAAGTAATTGGGATTCTGCTCACTGAGCCCACTAGAGCATAAATTCCAGAGAGCAAGACCATTTTGATTAGCTGGATGCCACAGCACATGCCTATAATCCCAGCTATTCATGAGGCTGAGGCAGGAGGATTCCAGCCTGGGTAACTTAGCAAGGTCCTATCTGAAACTCTAAATAAAAGGCTGAGGATTTGGCTTAGTAGAGCACATGCCTAGCATGCATGAGGCCTGTTTCAACTCCTACTATGGCCAAAAAAAAAGTAAAAGAGAAAGAACAGGAAATGCTTACTTCTTGAAGTCAGTATTGGCAGCATGGAACATCCCTAGCATCTTCTTCCCAGCCATAAGCAAAGGCTTTTAAGGAGCCGGGTATGGTGGTGCAAGCCTGTTGTCCCAACACTCAGGAGGCTGAGGCAGAAGAATCGCCTGGAGTTCAAGGCCAGCTTGGGATACATAGTGAGGTCAAGATCATCCTCAACTACATAGTGAGACCCTGTCTCCCGAAAAAGGCTTTTAGGAAACCAGAAATGCTGATTGTCTTCAGTTCCCTGTTTTCTCAAATTTCAAAGATGAGATTTCCAGAGCTTGTCAGATACTTCCTGTTGCCCAATAGCTCAACTAAAGTAACAAGCAACAGAACCAAGCGTAGATCCCAGCAGCTCCTGAGAATGTACTTTACTAGCCCTATTAAGGCCCCGGTTTAGTCCGAATGATTTGTCCTTACCAGAATTCACACTGAGGCTTGATACCTGTGACTATTAATTGTGACTGTCAGCCTGACTGGATTAAAAAGCCTGCCAGATTAGTGACATGCGCTTCCAGGTGCATCCAAGTGGGACAGGGTATCTCAGACTCTGTAACTGGCTCCCAGCCCTTTCCTCTCCACACTTTCCAACCCGTTTTGCTCTCCCACCTCTATGAGGTGAGCAGCTGTCCTCCGTCAGGCCTTTCTACCATGTTTCTGCCTTGGAGCCAGGCATGGACTGAACTATCTGAAACCAAGAACCAAATCAACCTCTCCTTGAAGTCTGGTTGTCAGATGCTTTGCGCCAGTGCAGAAAAGGTGACAACACAGCGACCAGAGTAGCAGTGTGGAGAGGAAGCAGGATCTTTAACAGCTGTTTGGGTAGTAGGTATGGGACATGGTTCATGCCTTTCTCCCAGGGCTAGATTGATTTTCAAGGTAGGATTGCGTTCTCACTCTTGCTGATAGTTTCAGAGAGTGAGGCTGTTTGTGCTTTGCCTCTTGCTTCTTCTCCTGCATGTGCCCGCCTGTCTCCAGCTGCCTTTGTGCTTTCCACCCTGAGCTGATGTAGCTTGATGCCCTCGCCAGTGGCCTTCCCAGCCCCCACAACTGCAAGTCAAAATAAAATTGTTTACAAATCACCCAGTCTCAGATATTCTGTGATAGTAACAGAAAACAGACTCCTTAAGACAGCCACAAATCCTTTTTTTCCCCCCGCTTCATTTTTCAGGTACTAGGGATTGAACCCAGGGCACACAGAGCTATTTCATAGGCCCGTTTTTTTTTTTTTTTTTTTTTTTTTTTTTTTTTTTTGGTACCAGGGATCGAACTTGGGTCTTTTGTGCTTGCAAAGCAGGCGGCAGAATCACTGAGCTAAATCCCCAGCCCTAGCCCTCTTATCTTTTATTTTGAGATCAGGTCTCAGTAATTTGCTAAGTTACTCAGGCTGGACTGCAAACCTATAATCCTCCTGCCTCAGCCTCCGAGAGTGCTAGGATAACAGGTACATGCCACCCACACTGGCTCAGGCACAGATCTTTTTAAAAGTCCAGGCACCTTATGAAATACCAGCAGTGCCAGGGCTAGACCGTGCACACAGGCTATGGGTTCCTCCCCAGCACTGCAGGAAGAAAAAACTTAAGTGCCTGAGTTACTCATATTATTCTCGTATGCAGACAACTCTAAGCTCTGGAAGGTAAAT